ACAGTTAAACATTGCTCGCGACGCCCAGGCGTCGCGACCACAGGGGGGCGACATGGTACCACTGCACCTCCTTGCGTCTTCTAGAGACCAACAAAATAGCAAGCCCTGCCTTTGGGGGGGGGGGGGGGCAGAAGGCTCTGCTCGACGGAGAATCCCTCGATCGAGACTCCCCGTCGCTGTACCAGAATCGGCAGGACACCCAGCTCACGACGGGACGTTCACGCCGCAGGGATAAACTACCCCCGAAACTGCCAGGTAACAAAACCGGTCAACCGGCCAGTTCTCCACACTACCGGAAACAATTATCGTCGAGCTACCACCCCAGACAGGCCCAAAGGCATAACGAACATGCATTTCAAACATACAAACATAAATTTCGACCATACAAAAGTGCAGAATAAAACAAGCATAACACCATGCAGAAACAAGACAAAGCGCACACTTAAATTTTCCATAATACGGGCACAAGCCCATAAGTCAAAATGTTACAATAAAACGGGCATAAGCCCCAGCTGTTGAGCAGGACCTTGGCCGCCTAAGCTCAGATTATCAAGTCCTCGCTCTCTCACCTCGGAGCTACGACTTGGGGGGGTCCTGTTCTGGCCTGGGCCCCGACCTGACCGGGAAGGCCCAACCCACATACACTTGGGAGAAGGCCCAAAGGAGTCATCCTCATCTGTGTCGAGCACAAGACTCCCGTCGACTAGACACTGCCCCCGTCGGGCAGAACCTTCCCTCCGTCGACCAGACACTGCCCCGTCGGGCAGAACCTTCCTCATCCGTGTCGAGCACAAAACTGCCCGTCGATCGGACATTACCCCTCCGCGGGCAGGACCTTACCCTCCATGGGCAGCACCTTACCCCTCCGCGGGCAGGACCTTTCCCTTCGCGGGCAGGACCTTCTCCCCCTCCACGGGCAGGACCTTACTCTCCGCGGGCAGGACCTTCTCCCCCTCCGTGGGTAGGATCATACCCTCCGCGGGCAGGACCTTCTCCCGCTCCATGGGCAGGACCTTACCCTCCACGTGCAGGACCTTCTCCCCCTCCGCGGGCAGGACCTTATCCCTTCGCGGGAAGATCCTTCCCCCTCTGCGGGTAGGACCTTGCCCTCCGCGGGCAGGACCTTCTCCTTGTCGGACAGAACAACGTGTCCTTCACACGTTCTCTGCGTGCTCCTCTCCGCGGGGACACATCACCGACAAACTGCCCACCTCCGAAAGAGCAGGTCAAACCCACTTTCCGGAGATCACAGGACAGTTGGACTAGGGCGAAGACCACGTCCTGGTCTTCATTACGCCACGTAAGCCCTAGCAGTCACCTGGGTTGGGCCTGGCAATCCAGCCCAACACAAGTGATCGTTGGCCCAACGCTGGGGTCTCTCTATAAATACCCTCTTCCTCAAGAGGGTCAGGTAATTCACATCTTGCCCTTTCTGTACTTTGCTCTCACTCTGCCCAATTCCTTACTTTGGCATCGGAGTGTCTTGCAGGTACACCCCTTTCTCCTCCTCATCACCGGTGAACAGGCAGCAGTCCAACAACGTGTGGCCAGCCCGTGATCCCCTTCTGATCAGGTCAGATCAGTGGCGCCGTCTATTGGAACTAAGCTTCCCCGTTCCTCCGAGCAGAGAATCAAAGCTTCATCTCTCAACTTCAGGATCAGGACTAGCCCACACCATGACGACGCTGTTCACAACTCCGACCAAGTCCCCGTCACCAACGGTGACAGTCAGGTGGGGACATATCAACTCCGTGAAGAGGGGCAGGACCCTCGCTGCCAACCAGCCAGCCCTTGCCCTCTCCTTCGTCGAGCAGGACCTTGGCTTCCAACCAGCCAGCCTTTTCCCCTCCTTCGTCGAGCAGGACCTTGGCTGCCAACCAGCCAGCCTTTATCCTCTCCCTCATCGAGCAGAAGCTCTATCGAGCAGGGCCTTGGTTGCCAACCAGCCAGCCCTTGCCTCTCCCTTGTCGGGCAGAAGCTTTGTCGAGCAGGACCTTGGCTGCCAACCAGCCAGCCCTTGCCCCTCTTTCGTCGATCAGAAAAACCGTCGGGCAGGACCTTGGCTGCCAACCAGCCAGTCTTTGTCCTCTTCTTCGTCGAGCAGAGCCCTGTCTTCACGGGGCAAGATGGAGCACGAGGCCTACTACCTCGAAAACCTACACGGGGATCAACTAGCTCGACCATGGAACACCGAGAAGCTGAAAAGCTACTACAATTAAACACTGCCCGCGGCGCCCAGGCGTCGCGACCATAGGGGGGCGACATGGTACCACTGCACCTCCTCGCGTCTTCTAGAGACCAACAAAACAGCAAGCCCTACCTTTGTGTGCGCAGTCAGAAGGCTCTGCTCGACAGAGAATCCCTCGATCGAGACTCCCCGTCGCAGCACCAGAATCGGCAGGACACCCAGCTCGCGATGGGACGTTCACGCCGCGGGGATAAACTACCCCCGAAACGGCCAGGTAACGAAACCGGTCAACCGACCAGTCCTCCACACTACCGGAAACAATTATCGTCGAGCTACCACCCCGGACAGGCCCAAAGGCATAACGAACATGCATTTCAAACATACAAACATATATTTTGAGCATACAAAAGTGCAGAAATAAAACGAGCATAACACCATGCAGAAACAAGACAAAGCGCACACTTAAACAAAATTCCATAATACGGGCACAAGCCCAGAAGTCAAAATGTTATAATAAACGGGCATAAGCCCAGCTGTTGAGCAGGACCTTGGCCGCCTAAGAGGAGCATTATCAAGTCCTCGCTCCCTCGCCTCGAAGCTACGACTTGGGGGGCTCCTGTTCTGGCCTGGGCCCCGGCCTGATCGGGAAGGCCCAACCCACATACACTTGGGAGAAGGCCCAAAGGAGCCATCGTCATCTGTGTCGAGCACAAGACTCCCGTCGACCAGACACTGCCCCCGTCGGGCAGAACCTTCCCTCCGTCGACCAGACACTGCCCCGTCAGGAAGAACCTTCCTCATCAGTGTCGAGCACAAGACTGCCCGTCGACCGGACATTACCCCTCCGCGGGCAGGACCTTACCCTCCGCGGGCAGGACCTTACCCCTCCGCGGGCAGGACCTTCTCCCCCTCCGCGGGCAGGACCTTCTCCCCCTCTGCGGGCAGGACCTTATCCCTCCGCAGGAAGATCCTTCCTCCTCCGCGGGCAGGACCTTCTCCTTGTCGAGCAGAACAACGTGTCCTTCACACGTTCTTCACGTGCTCCCCTCCGCGGGGACACGTCACCGACCAACTGCCCACCTCCTAAAGAGCAGGTCAAACCCACTTTCCGAAGATCACGGGACAGTTGGACTAGGACGAAGACCACGTCATGGTCTTCACTACGCCACGTAAGCCCTAGCAGTCACCTGGGTTGGGCCTGGCAATCCAGCCCAACACAAGTGACCGTTGGCCCAGCGTTGGGGTCTCTCTATAAATACCCTCTTCCTCAAGAGGGTCAGGTAATTCACATCTTGCCCTTTTTGTACTTTGCTCTCACTCTACCAAATTCCTTATTTTGGCATCAGAGTGTCTTGCAGGTACACCCCCCTTCTCCTTGTTATCATTGGTGAACAGGCAGCAGTTCAACAGCGTGTGGCCAGTCCGTGATCCTTTTCTGATCAGGTCAGATCAATTTATATATATATATATATATATATATATATATATATATATATATATATATATATATATATATATATATATATATATATATATATATATATATATATATATATATATATATATATATATATTTGGGGGCCATGTGCCACAAATTGGTTTTCAATACGCTACTTCCACCAAATTAACAATAATCTACAAAAGTCCTTTCATGCATATGACAAAAAATAAGGAGGAAGAGGATATCCTTACCGTATACTCCTTCTATTTTATATTATAAACAATTTTTTATTTTTTTTTAAATATATTTAATAATTAATATATTTAGTATATATATATATATATATATATATATATATATATATATATATATATATATATATATATATATATATATATATATATATATATATATATATATATATATATATATATATATATATATATATATATATATATATATATATATATATATATATATATATATATATAGGTCATGTGCCACAAATTGGTTTTTAATACACCACTTTCACCCAATTAGGAATAATGTATAAAAGTCCTTTCCTACATATGACAAAAAATGAGGAGAAAGAGGATATCCTTACCCTATACTTCTTCTATTTTATATTATAAACAAATTTTTATTTTTTTATATATATTTAATAATATATATATATATATATATATATATATATATATATATATATATATATATATATATATATATATATATATATATATATATATATATATATATATATATATATATATATATATATATATATATATATATTTATTTGAGGGTGATGTGCTACAAATTGGTTTTCAATACGCTATTTTCATCCAATCAGCAATAATGTACCAAAGTCCTTTCTTACCTATGATAAATAATAAGGAGAAAGAGGATATCCTTACCGTATACTCATTCTATTTTATATTATTTAATATATTTAAAAAATAAAATTTATTTATAATATAGAACGGAGTAATAAGTATATATTTTGTCCTTTATTATAGATAGATAGAGAATGTAATTCAATTGTGAATTATCTCTTTTTAAGCTTAAAAACACCCATTACAATATCAACCAAGAGCTCTTAAATAAATGTAAACTGAGATTTGTTGATGTCAACAAATACTTCCTACAGAATAATTAATAAGCAAAAAATACATATTTTTATTACGAATTATAGAAAGAAAAAAAAATCAAATTTTAACACAAAATAAATCTGAAATATTGACTTTTATTTATGAATGGTTAGGAATGGAGTATTAAATTTTATTTTGTTTGACTAAATTAATTTCGCAATATAAACAGCAGAAAAATCGTTTAGGGCAGCATTTTGAAACTGTGTCTCATTTCAACAAAACCATGGCGGCCACCGCTGCAAAAGCCGCATTCACCACCGTCCATTCTTCTCCACAACCTTCTCCGACCCCAAACCACCTTTCCCGGTCCACTTTACCATTCTCCTCACACCCCAACAACCCCTCCAAACGCCATCTCCGTCCACTTCGAATCTCATCTTCCATCTCCAACTCTACACAACAACAAATCCCTCCCCTACCCTCAACCCAACATTTCACTTCCCGATTTGCCCTCGACGAGGCTCGAAAAGGCGCCGATATCCTCGTCGAAGCTCTCGAACGTCAAGGTGTCACCGATGTCTTCGCTTACCCCGGCGGCGCGTCGATGGAGATCCACCAAGCACTCACGCGCTCCACTTCCATCCGTAACGTCCTTCCCCGTCACGAACAAGGTGGAATCTTCGCCGCAGAGGGTTATGCTCGATCCTCCGGCCTCCCTGGCGTCTGCATCGCTACTTCCGGTCCCGGTGCTACGAATCTCGTCAGTGGCCTCGCTGATGCCATGCTTGACAGTGTTCCTCTTGTTGCCATCACCGGCCAAGTTCCCCGGAGAATGATCGGAACTGATGCGTTTCAGGAAACTCCGATTGTTGAGGTAACTAGGTCAATCACGAAGCATAATTATCTTGTTCTAGATGTAGATGATATACCTAGGATAGTGAATGAAGCGTTTTTCTTAGCTAGTTCTGGAAGACCTGGACCTGTGTTGATTGATATACCTAAAGATATTCAGCAACAGGTTTCGATTCCTGATTGGAATCAACCTATGAGGTTAACAGGGTATATGACTAGGTTGCCGAAAGCACCGTCTGAGGCTCATTTAGAGCAGATTGTGAGGTTGATTTTGGAATCTAAGAAACCTGTTTTGTATGTTGGTGGTGGTAGTTTGAATTCTAGTGAGGAGTTGCGGCAATTTGTTGGGTTAACTGGGGTTCCGGTTGCGAGTACTTTGATGGGTTTGGGTTCATACCCGACTACTGATGAGAATTCATTACAAATGCTTGGGATGCACGGAACTGTTTCTGCTAATTATGCTGTTGATAAGAGTGATCTTTTGCTTGCATTTGGGGTTCGGTTTGACGATCGGGTTACCGGGAAGCTCGAGGCCTTTGCTAGCCGGGCGAAGATTGTTCATATTGATATTGACTCTGCTGAGATTGGGAAAAACAAGCAGCCTCATGTGTCGGTCTGTGGGGATTTGAAGTTGGCATTGAAGGGGATTAATCGCATTTTGGAGAGCAACGGGACAGCGAGTAAGATTGATTTTGGAAGTTGGAGAGAAGAGCTGAATGAGCAGAAACTTAGTTTTCCGATGAGTTATAAGACGTTTGATGAAGCTATTCCTCCGCAGTATGCTATACAGGTTCTTGATGAGCTTACCAATGGGGAAGCTATCATAAGTACTGGTGTTGGACAGCACCAAATGTGGGCTGCTCAGTTTTACAGTTACAAGAGACCTAGGCAGTGGTTGACTTCTGGTGGTCTTGGCGCTATGGGATTTGGATTGCCTGCTGCCATGGGAGCTGCCGTCGCTAATCCTGACGCTATCGTGGTTGACATTGATGGTGATGGAAGTTTTATGATGAATGTTCAGGAGCTGGCCACTATAAAGGTGGAGAATCTTCCCGTTAAGATATTGTTGCTGAACAATCAACACTTGGGTATGGTTGTTCAGTGGGAGGATCGGTTCTATAAAGCCAACAGAGCTCACACATATCTGGGAGACCCAGCAAATGAGAAAGAAATATTCCCCAATATGTTGAAATTCGCAGATGCTTGTGGTATACCGTCAGCTCGTGTGACAAAGAGGGCAGACCTTAGAGCAGCAATTCAGAAAATGCTGGATACCCCCGGCCCTTACCTTCTTGATGTCATTGTACCCCATCAAGAGCACGTGTTGCCAATGATTCCCGCCAATGGATCCTTCAAGGATGTCATAACTGAAGGTGATGGAAGAATAAGTTACTGATTTCCCAAGGTAGGTTTATCTTGATACTGGTTTTGTATAATAATAGTAAGTTGTGATGTTATAATTTTTGTATTAGTGTTGGTAATAAGGCAAACTTATTTGTTTCTGGACAAATTCCAGTTCGCTTATAAATATTTCATACCTCTGGTTAAGTTATAACTGCTTTTTAGTCAGTGTTGCTGAAATTATTTTGTTCATTATGGTTCTTCTGTGTTGTTTGGTTACTGAAATCGTCTGTAGTGCAAATTGAAGCAAGTTAGTTTATAGTGGATCATTTGTTTTTTTTCTCTTAACCAGAGTAAGAAACTTGGTTACAGTTTTGTTTTTTACAACAGAGGTTATTTTATGTAGTTGCTGGTTATATAATGTGTTTTTCAATTTTCATCCTACTTTTAGAGGGAAAGAGAGAGAGAAAAAAATGAAGGACCACATTTGGCATTTTTTCTGTAGTTGGATTAAAATCAAATGGTTAAGATTTTAAAATTAAATATGTTTTATTTAATATAAATTAGAAGTAATATTTAAATTTTAATCATTCGATTTTGATCTAACGATTGAAAAATGATAGAATACGACAAAAATTGACGACAGTGAATTTTTAAAAAATGAATGAGAAGATCTATGATTTTTTCTAAATAACCAACTTTTTCAACCAAATTTCTCAAATAACTAACTTTCCCTCCAAATTTCTCAAGTACCCGTTTCTTTTATTATTCATGTTAGAAAAAAAGAAACAATTGTTTATAACATAAATTGTTTTAATTCTAAACAAATGCAAATTAATATACACTTTATTATGAGCTTTAATTTTGATTTTGATGTTAACTATCTATATTAATAATTTATTTTCTCTTTCTTATTTTTAAATTAGATTTTAATTTAGTTTTAATTTTATATATAAAAAAATACAATTGATTCAAATACATCAATAAAAAGTGTCAAAATAAAAACAATATTTATACATAGAAAAATGTCTAGCTGATCAGTTACAATGACAATTGGGATATCTATAACTAAAACAAAAATGATTTTATAAAGATAAAAAATATATTGTTGACAAAATTATTTTAACTAATTGTGTTATTTTTGAATTGTGTTGACAAAAATAATAGTATATATAATTTCAATAAAAACAACTTCTTCTATGAAAAATGTAAAACAACTTCTTAATACGAAAAATTTATACAATTAAAATAATGTAGGATATTTATGTAAATACGGAATAACTATATTATTAATCCAAATACGAGAAAAATATGTGTTAGATTTTTAAATTTATACTAATCTAATTCATATGGTGAAAATTAAATGAAATCACTTATTCAATTATGAATTGTGTAGTAAATCAATAAAATTTTAATAATTTTTGCTTGCTTATATTATGAAAATAATATGAAATAAGAAAAAATGAAATTACTTATCCAAATATATAGCGACACATTAAAATTTTAATAAATTTTATTTTTTTATATTTTAGAAATTATATGTAAACAGAAAAAATAAAATTACTGATCTAAATATACAGTGAGTCGATAAAATTTTAATAAATTTTGTTATGATATCGTAGTATTATATGAAACAGAAAAAAAAATAAAACAATTGATCAAACAATTATGTAACGAGACACTAAAACTTTAATAAATTTTGTTTTCTCATATCTTGTAAATTATATAAAATAGAAAAAATAAAACAACTTATTCAAAAATTGAATAATGAAAATTTATCAATCATTTTTTTTTAAATATATGAAAACAATTTAGAGAGTCTATTAGAAAAGATTGAGTAGATATATTTAAAATTGTATTCTCTCTTATAAAATAATTATCTTATTTATAAAAAATTAAAAAAACTTATTTATCTAATAAAAGTTTCAATAATTATTATTTTTAATTATATTATACATAACATTGTTGTTTAAATTTTGTCTTTTATATTAATTAATATTTCAATTTAAATTTATTATTATTCGTAAGTTTTTTTTTTAACTTCTTATTTTTATAATAATTTACACACAAATACGAGTCTAAAATCATATCTCATCTAAAAACGTATCTGATATATAAAAGCACAAATTTGTTACTAATTTATACTAAAAAAAACCATTCATCATATAAGGACCATCAATTAGCGATTGCTCTTATAAGTTGTACATTGTCTTCAATTTAATACAAATGCAATTGTCAATTCAATTGGTTATGACTTTTTCAAAACTTGATTGAAAAGAATTATGGAGAAAATTAGTTATTTGAGAAATTTTGTTAGAAAAATTAGTTATTTAAAAAAAAAAAGAATGTTTTTTTTTCTTTTTACCATACGCTTTTTTTGTTTTAATAAAATTAAAAATTAGATAAAGCAAAACTAGAACAAAAAGGCTTAAAGAATGAATTTTTAAAATAAAAAAAATTTAGTCTCTCTCTCCGGTCTCTAATAACCGAAAATTTTACGTAAATAATCAAGTTTTATAATTTTAATATCAAATTAACTAATATTTTCACATAATTTCTAATATAACCATATTTTTTTAAAAAAAATTAAAGAGAAATTGACGCCTCCTGTATTTTTATTTTTTATTTTTTTCAGCTATCTATGAATTTGTCTGCAGATTTAAGTGTGGATTAACATGCGGAGTTTTTGATTTTTTGTCTGCAGGTAAAATACATAGGTAAATCCGCAAGAAAAATCTGCAGGTAACATCAAATCCACATATAGCTAAATAAAATTAAAAAGTATATAGGATCCACCAATTGAATTGTCGCATCTTCTTTAATCCATTTTTTTAACATGATATAATGAGAATTATATGAAAATGTTGGTTAATTTGGTATTAAAATAGAAAATTTTGGTTATTTATGTAAAATTTTCCCAATAACCATTCAATTTATCACCTCCGAGTTGCCAGTTCCGCTACATGGAACAATGACCATAGATGAAGTTGGAATAATTGCAAAATTCATGTAGATTTTAGAAAATATCCCTTATATCAATTTGTGAAGCTTCACTTCAGATACCAAAACCCTCTTCATCATCAACTCTCCCTTAACTTTATACTTTGAGATTTTGTTCTGCCACTCATTCACTCATCTCTAACATTCTCAAAATTTTCATAATATTATCTAAAATACCTTTATTAAATTTTTATTAAAAAAATGTTACTCCTTCACTCATACCTGGTATCCCAAATTTTCTATAATATTCAAAATACCCTTGCAAAATTTTTATCAAAACATAACGCACGAAAATTTATGTAGTGTAAGTTAAAATTCGACAGAAATAAAAAAATCGGTAGTTAGTTCTAAAAGTCCAATAAGTCTTTTACCATTTAAAAAAAAGAGCGGTGAATGGAAAAACATATCCTTTTTTTTAAACACTGTGGATTACAAGATTTTTCTTTAAAAAAACTCATGCATTTACCAAACTTTTAGATGGGCTATAAAAAAATTCGGTAATTTAAATTTCTATGCTTGAGATTTTTTCAACAGTTTTATAAAGTTGTGATTGCAATGATAGTTGTATGTGGTTCATAATAAATCCAAACTTGTATAAATAGGAATTATGTGTTGTTAAAAAACATCCTAGAATATCTCAATATTTGTTTACGGAAATTGTATCCTTCAACGATGTGAAACCTCCTTGAGATTTTCGATTTCCCGAGGACACCACCAATCTCGTTGTTCTAAGATGCGAGAATAAAAATATGGGTCGGATGGAGTTTCGTGCACCATGGATTGATACTAAAGGAATTGTGAAATACAACAACATTTAGCTGAAGACTAATGAAGATTTGAAGTGTTGTGAATCAGATACCTTTAAACAAAGTATAAACGGTTTCTTTATGATCAAGAAACACACAAGGGTTATGGTTAACAAAGATAACAAGGTAAAACAACAAGGAACAACAAGAATTGGTTATTAAACTGTTATTCTTTCATTTCTCTTAGAACAAGATTACAAGTATACAAGAATAACAAAATAACCTCTCTCTCTCTCTTGAAATTAGGATTTTATCTTTCTACTTTTCATTATGCCGAGATTGAGAAACTAGCATCCTATTTATAAGAAAAATAACACACTAACCTAATGGGCTTTTTAACAATGACCTATTACAAGCTAATTTAGGGTACAAACTAACTTAAACACTTTGGCTTATAAGCAAGGCCCAATCCAATATGCTAACAACCTAACAATATTGACTAATGCATGTTAGAACAAACTTCGACTATAACATATATTACTCCAACAACATCATACAAACAGACTTCGACCTCGTGCTTAATTCTTGTCGAACTAGAAGTTACCCTTCGACCATACTAGAGTTCAATCCGACATCTCACAAATCTCCACCTTGGATCTAACTCTATAACATCAAGAAACTAGTGTCATACCCTAAATTTGTCCTACCCTTTTTGAAAATATTTTCGCATTATTGTTTCATGCCGTTTAGACACGTGTCCACCTGAAATTGGGCGTTTTTCAAATTTATCCTTTTTCGCCCAATAAAGATGTGACACATGGCCTAAGGTTTCTTTTGTGAATATTAATTTTTGTTTTTTAGTTTCCTAAGTTTTTTTAAAAAAAAATGTTACTGCTAATAATTTTTAAGTAATTAATATTGTTTTATTCTTTTAGTTTGTTTTATAAATTATTAATATTTATTTGTTTATTAGTATTTAGTTATTAACTGTTTTATTATTAATATTGTAATTATTAGGTTAATTTATTAGTAATTGTTTCATTAATATTATAATTAATTTTGAGTTAAAAAAAATTGAAAAAAAGGGTCAGATTTGGTTTAACCTGCCCATTTATTGGAGGCCCAAAGAGGAGGGTCACACGGTTCACCATATTTATAAAAAGGGAGAATAGAAACCCTAATTGGGAGGAGATTCACTGTTCATACCCTTTCCATTTCTCTCAGAATCCGCCGCTAACCCTACACAGAAAAACCCTAAAAAAGTCTCTCTCACGGAGCTCAAACGGCGCCGCACCTTTACCATCCCTCA